ACTATATTATTTTTAATTTCATTTTTTACTTCGTTTCTAAATCTTATTATGTTTTTATCATAATTTTATAATCAATCCTTGCTTTGATATCAACTCCTGTCACGCCTCATTTTGACCTCCTAATTAAGCATGAGATATAATTAATTTCATTTTTTACTCAATCCGTATGGAATAATTTTTCCTAATTAAGCATGAGATATAGCAGAAGTGAACAACCCAATCATATACTGCTATCCCGATCTTTATTAATTAGAATTGAGTGAATATAAAAACAGTCTGTCAAAATCATAACAAAATATACACTATATTTCATAATCTTCAAATAGATCCATTATAATTATTAATATAGAAGCATGCATAATTAAAATTATCAAACATGAGTTGCTAATAAATTTCATATATGATTAGTATGCATCATAAATCTTTATTTACATCATGTTTATTTTTTTTATATATATGATACAACAGGATTGCATCAAAACATGAGGCGAAGATCAAAATTGGATTACATGTCTATGGTCCATCATGCTCATTCTCTTCACATGAAATAACATTAATTTTATTAACCTACTAAAAGCTCAGCAGGACACAGTTTTAATAGATTATTCAAAATGCAACAAAAGACTTAATAATATTAATGCTTATCTTTGTAGTAATGTGAGCATTATTAACTGTGTACATAATTAGTTTAGTGCTATAAGTTTAAATCGAAATATACTTTGATAATCACACAAGTAAATGTCAAAATCATGAGCATTAAATATAAATGCATGTAAGCAAAATTGTGACGCAGGGTTTCCCACACTGACTTGGGACGCATTACTTCCCGCACTAACACGGCTTCTTGCGACGGGATTTCTCGCTATTGAACTGAACGGTCCGATTGAGGGCAGGTCCAGGGTGAACCTAAGCCGAGCGACTTGTGGCGGGATTTTGACAGGACGGGACTGCCGCTCGGCCCTTTCCTCCTTTTTCTTCTTTTCCTTCATGTAGGAGGTATTTATTTGTTGTTTTCAGATTTTAGGATTAGTTTTTGATGTGTTATATTTTCAGATTTTTTGTGTGGAGAGTTTTCTCTGTTCTAGGGTTCTATGCGAGGAGATGGTGGTGCTCCAACTATATCCTACTCCAAGGTGGTGTTGTATCTTACTCAATCTTCTTCCCTAAATCTTCTTCCCCCTTTCCCTTGGCCGTCGGGCACCCCAGATCACCCTTTCTCTCTGTTAGGCAGTCCTTGCAACCGCCTTTCCCTTTGCCATCCAGTTTCTGCACCCTTCCCGACCACCTTGCTGCTGCTCCTATCTACATTAACATTGCTGTCCAGCCTTCCCACCATCTCCAACCACCTTGCCGCCCTTCAACTGCAGATGTCTCAGCTGTCCCAGTCACTTCACAGGCTGCCGAACCCCTTTCACAGCATTCCTACTGCTGCCACTACTCCAGCCCCTTCCTTCATATCAGACAACCCCATTACAACCCTTAGGAGGGTGGTCGCAACCCTCCAGATTACTTACCAGTCCACGACAACCTTTTCCTTACAGCTATCATCGTTGTCCGGCCCACCTACCGGCCACCTAACCCCTTCTTAACCGACCTCGCAGTCAGTAACCTTTCTCCTACCCTCACCACGTTGCCGACACCACTCCGCCCTCGTATCTTCCTTTCCGACCCTAAGCAAACCTTGGTTTGTTATTGTGTTTTCACTTTCCGTTTGTATCGTGTTGTAACCCTAACTCAATATCAACAAAAGTTTGCTTTGCGTTTTCCGTTGAATTTCCTACTAGTTCCCATATCAAATTTAATAATTCTATTAGGTGTCTATTGAGTCAATACCAAATGTTAGTTCATTTTTGTATGGAATTACTAGCTTTACTCTAATTTTTTTCTTATTTATACTGGTTATAGTAATAGAAGTGTCATGTGATGTCTATATAAGCTTTGACATATATTATTTGGTCGTCATCTAATTTATTAACCATAATAACCGTTGAAGATATGAACTTATCCAACACTGCAATTATCAATCACCCCTTAAAACAAGACTAGATTACATTTTACCGAGCATCAATTTTTCTCTATTGGGAGTCTATAACCTATTTTTCCCATATTGAGGCTCATTTCATTAGATTTGTGTCTCTCTATGTAGGTTATCATTCTCTTGCTAACCTATCTCACATAACATGATCGTTTAAAGTCTTCTTACTATGTTATTTGGGATAACATAATTCGATATACATGATGTTTTATATGATTCACATAGTTTTTCTAAAATTTTATATTTTCCAATGATAAATTTAATATTTAAAAAAACGCACACGCGCGTGTGCACGCACACACACACACACATATATATATATTAGTAAAAGAATTGGTATTTGGCAGAGACCCAAATACCGATTCTCTATGCGCTAGGCCTTATGGTGAGAAATCCGCATCATGTGTTATTATTCTAGGACCACCACGCCACGAGGATTCAAATCCTTGACTCAAGGGGACTTACACAGAGCCCCGCCATCCAACAGGCTAAGGCATGCACGCATCTCTCTCTCTCTCTCTCTCTCTCTCTCTCTCTCTCTCTCTCTCTCTCTCTCTCTCTCTCTCTCTCTCTCTCTCTCTCTCTCTCTCTGAGCAAAACTCCTTTAATATTACAGTTGTTCCATTTATTTTACTTGAGCAAAACTCCTTTAATATAAATAACTCATAATAAAAATTTAGCACAGAAAATATAATACCAAAATTTTTTGAAAAAATATATATGATTAAAATTTTTTCATTATTTTTTACAATTTCCAGAAATAAATAATAGTAATCTTCTAAAAATATATATTTTCCAATGATAATTTATATGAAATTTATCAAACTTATCATTGGAAAATATAAAAATTTAGAAAATTCTTTTATTTTTTTATGGGAATTGTAAAAATTAATGTATAAATTTTATGAGAAATTTTAATCGTATATATTTTTAAATAAATTTTGATATCATATTATATGTGCTAAATCTTCATTATGAGCTCTTTATATGATCTGTAGCTCTCGTGTTGAGTTGATAAAGGTTTCATGCTAGGCATTTAATCCAATGGAGACAAGAAATTCATCTCAATGCTGCAATGACTAAGTATATGAAGATTCCTTTAGATCCTTTTTTAGAGTTTTGAGTTGATTTGTTTCGTGTCAGTGGAATATCTAGTGTTGCTCTGACATTTGTCTTTTTTAGTAGGTTGCAAATGCTTAAGAAATGCTTTTGTTAGAACCAAGGAATATCGGGTATTGGAGTATTGACCCATGTTTGAAATTGTGTAATCTGAAGCGTGTGAGTTGGCGCAATTTTGAATGTAGATACATTGAGGTGTACACTTCGAGCAGCTATGCGAGGTTCACAATTCACATTGGTTGATGCACAACTTGCCTCAATTCCTAGGAGGTGTGCACCTTTCGTGCTTATTTTTTTTTTTGCCAATATTAAATGGCTTGAATATGAACCGAAGCCGTACTTTCATGCACAAGAGCTCTCTTCTCCTTAGTCGGGCTTCATGCTTCTGTCATCTGCACCGCCACCAACGCTTGCTTCTGCTTTTGTTGCAGTCGCCACCAACGCAGCTTGCAAATGCTCTTGTTGTAAGCACCACTGCCTATTGTTCGGCATCTTCCCGTTGCTGCTGCTATCTATCATTGTCGTTGTCTTCACCCCCTCCTCACCAAATAGTTTTTGTTAAGTTTCATAAGTTTTAAAAGGTTTAACAACTCTAAACTCTTTTTTTTTTTAAATTTCTTTGAATATTTGAATGGTTTCAAATTTTTTACCCTTTTATTTTGACTATATGCACTTTCAAACTATGAGGCTTACGGCTATGACTGCCTCGAGGCTTACGTCTCGCCTCACAAATGAAAAATATCTCTAGACCCAATTGCATAATTTTAAACATTGGGATTGGTTACCGGAGTATTCATGATAATGACAACTATGGTTGCTGAAATGTTCACATCAACGAAGGTTGTGTAGTGAAAATGGAGGTGTTGATTTTGCTAGTCATGATGAAGGCTGTAGTTAAAGGTGGTCCACGACAATGAAGGTCTTTTATCATCAACGCTGGCATAATACTAAGCAGTGGAAGGCCAAGCGCCACGTCGAGCGATGAAGGTTGTGATCCAAGAAGCTAGGGTTCCAATACCTAGTGGAAAAATAAACCAAAGAAAAATAATTCTTTTTTATTGACACAAGGTTAACAAATGCATGTCAATATTTATAGATAAGTCTAGGCAAAAGAAACGGAAGCTAACCTAATCCAAAACAGGAAAATGTACACATCAAAGGAAACTAACCTAATACATAATGAGAAATTATATACGTCTTTACATTTCCTGACAAATCAAATTAAACCTAATAACTTTCTCAATGTACTATGTGCAGCCAAAACTACTGGGACTATCCAAATGAGTCCGTCTGGTCCTTCCATGCGCGTGAATACTGTTTGGGGACCTTTTGTATTTCCTTTTTGAGGCAACTGAGACTTCTAACATGTTTTCCAACTAATACTGATATATCAACTAGTTAGATGCTTAGACTTTCCTTCTATTTCAAAGATAGCTTAAGTTTATAGAATTGGACAAATTAATAGATGATGTCATTCTTCATCCTAAATCGATATTGGCTTCTTGGCTACTCTGACTCTTAATATTCACATTTTAGTGCTTCACATGGTATGAAAGGCTTTATAGATGACACATGCCACATATCGGGTCTTTTAACTATGTTTAAGTCAAGTATGGCCATTTGTTGTAACCTGGTGATAAAACAATAAGTCAATGAATTTTATGATGGTGATACGGTTTATATCAAATACTTCGGTTGTAAGCTTGTAATACTGATATTTGAGGGGAGTACTAAAATAATTGTTAGTCCTTGCATGAAGTACAAGTTTGATTGTGTACTGCGTAATAATGAAGCTCTTTTACTCGATTGTTATTCTTTTAGCTGAATCTCTCTAATTTTATTTTAGGTATGATATTTCTTTGAGCTTGGAGGAATCAATTTCTGGTGGACAGAGAGAAATAAACATAGCATGTTATGATACATGTGATAGTTGTAATGGAAGTGGTGCGAAATCCAGCAAATCCATAAAGACTTGTTCAGAATGTGAAGGCAGGGGTGGGATGATGAAGACCCAAAGAACACCATTTGGAGTAGTATCACAGGTGCACATGAATTTTGATAGTGAAATTACTTCACATACTACATGCACATCAGAAATTTTTTTTTTGAACTTCTCAAAGTTAATTAGTGGGGCATGACTGATGTTCCTTCAATGATTTAAATTTCAGCATTTCTCTGTGATAATCTTGATTCTGCTACATCTTTCAGCTTCAATTCTTATTCATGCATTGATTTTATCATAGTGAAGATCTACCAGTTGGCTGACCTACTTTTGCCTGTTTTTGTTTCGGGTGACTGGTGATTGAGCGTGAGTTAAGGCTCATTGAGTTTGGCTGGAAACTTAACAATGCCTTCTTTTTTCAGTTAAATAATCTTGGTTTGGGTTTTACATTTCCCTCTGACTCAGCAGAGGTTTGCAAGTAGATCCGGGAGGCTGTACCTGATGTTAACTAAAATGAAAGTTTAAACTTGAGTATGAATTGACTTGCTGTCGAGGTCCAGGTTTGGATGGCTTTACTTATCAACTTGGTATATGCTGAAATGATATGATCTCTTAATCTGAACCCACGTTCATAGCTCATGAGCCAAGACAAGTATAGCAGTTTTGTTTTTCAAGTGAGAATTTAATAGTAGACATGGATACACCAATTAGAGAAGTGAAATGAAAATATTGCTATTTAAAGAGAAAAAACAGGTTGAATTCAGAAATTTCAAATGATTCCTAGCACTCAAATTTGAATGACGTTTCCACCAAAGATATAAGTCGTACCCGTCCCAAAAAGATTTATCATCAACGATCTTTTTGTGGAGATGATCCACCAATCAACCCAGTTGGAGCAGTTTTAAGCTACACAAACTTAGTAGGTAATCTTTGCTCATTAATATTTACATCAAGTGGCTTGGGGCATGCAAAGCCTGCGCTCGGTACGTGCCTGTTCTCCGTCGCTTGAAGCTGTATGTTCAATTACTTTTCCCAATTTTTTGGAAGGATTTTCACTGGTGTGTGGTTCTGCTTGAGCTTATTTTTTTGTTGGGTGATGCTGATGAAATTCATCATAGAAGATGATCTATGCCCCTCTTCATGTTGAGTAGGAGCTTGGACAACCAATGTATGCATGTGTAATCTTTCCACTCCTTGCATCTTGCATTAGTGATGGAGAATGGTAGGTGCTTGTGCTTACAAATTAAATACTATGTTAATCTTCAAAGAAAACTATAATTTAAATTTATAGTTGTGCTTACAAATTAATTGGTATTGTTGAATTTTCATCAATTTGCAATGTAAGTTTTTTTCACTCTTTCCTTTTAAATGAACATAGCAAGAAAAAACTATAGGAGCTTCCTCACAATACTCATACAGGATTAAAGAATGAAAGATTTATATACATGCCACTCAATTTCAATATATTTATGTCTAACACCAAAAATTCAATTTTTACATGCATATAACCTTCCATATGCATGAAAAGTTGTATTTTAACTTTTAAAAGTTAAAATGATGGTATTTTTGCTGTGTTATGAAAGATTTAGGTGGTATAATGTAAAATATAAAGTTTAGGTGTTAGGTAAGTAACATAGGAATTTCTCTTTTAAACAAGGTTAGTACTTACTATGGTTCACATGACATGAAATTTTAGTATTTGCTGGTGATACATACACATGCTCACGCATTTTTCATTTATCTAGTGCTTCTTTTGCTTACTATTTCTGTAGGTTTGCTTTCATACAATTGGTATCATTCTTTTGTATTTGTTGGTGATACATACACATAGTTTGCTAAAATGGTCATGGTTATTTCAAGCTTGAATCTTTGGACATCGTCGTGCATTTTTTAAATTTACTCCATGAAGCAAATGCTTGGATTTCTATTTTACAAATCCATATGGGTTATACTCCTTTGTTTTTTTTAAATTTGTGACATTGTTTTTATTGTTATGTTACAATATATTGCTTTATTGTAGTAATACAGTGTCACATAAAACCAAAGAGACTGCTACACTGACATTATGATAAAAAGAGATCAAAATAGTTTTTTGTGACATTTGCATCAAGGTAATTGAACATTAAAATATGCTAACTACCTTTTTCAATAAGAAATGTTGACAAAATATTACAAAAAAGTTCAAGAAAATTACAGACAGAGAGTAAGATATGATGCAATTGAAGAACATATGAGACCAACTTAAGAAGAATTGAAAAATTTGGAAGGGATTGAAACGAGGCTCAACGGGCTTGGGGTGAGATCTGGTGAAACGAACAATTAATGCACCCGAGGAGTGATGGACCGAAATACTTGTGGTGAGCATTGTTCATAACTTTTGTTAATTTGTCACTCTATATATTTTTTAATTTGGTTTTTATTATTTTTTATGTAGGCGATGCGTACTGCAAAGAAATTTAAGATGTGTAGAATTAAGTCTGAAATGAAGGAAAAACTCGACCGCATGTTTGGGGGGTGGTTGCAAAAGGAAAATATCCATGTTGCCCAACTGAGGCAGGGTTTGCCGTCAATACCGTGAATCTGGGAACCCCGAGAGGTTCAGGTAATTCCAGTGAAGTCCCATGTTCGGAGCAACACGACTATGAGTCGACTTTCCGTTCCAAGCGTCTGTGCGTTATCATCATAAGAAAATCTGCTGTTGGTTTCCTTAGAAACCAGATCTCCCACTGGTGTCTTCTTTAAGTGCAGAATCTCAGGCTTCTCATTCAACTACTATCAAACAAACATTTGAAATTCTAAATGATTCAAGAGAAATTTATGAGAATGAAACATTGTATCTGTTTGCAGTAGAGTTGATAGAGGACCCGGTCCTTAGAGATATTTTCGTGAAGATGATAGCTGCTTGTAGAGTGTTGTATCTTTGACGTTTTCATGATCGTATGAATATGAGTTTTTTTATATGTTATCGCAAGAATATTTCTAATGCATTATCTTCGTTTTACTCTTCTAGTGTTGTACTTGTAAACCCTTTAGTACTTTCCTAATTATATGCAAATGTTTCTCTTTTTATTTCTTAAAATTTTATGTTTTAGGCTAACTCATCAGTGCTACTTTATTAGAGTGTAAGATACAGATCATCATGGTTGCAAGTAGAAGAAGGCAGATGCTGATCAACATAGATGCAGCCAGAGGAAAGCGTAGGAGATTGGCGGCTGACATATGCTTGATCTACGAGTCTTTCAACTTTTACATTGATTGTTTTCTATTCATGACATCCTCATATATCGACGATAAATAGGTTGGGGAGTTGCTTGCTGGACTCCCAACAAAACTTAGTAATATGTTCTTAATGATGCATGAAATATTCATCGATCTTTTGAAAAAATTCAGTGGAGCTCACAGACTTCATGGATTTACCAAGACCACTTCATGTGAGATGCTCGAAATAACACTGTATATACTATCCCATAATGAGTATGCGAGAGGCGATGTAGCGATTTCAACACTCCGAAACAATTAGCAGATATTTCTCAATCAGATTGAGCGTTCTTGTTAGCCTTTTCTCTTGTGTCATCAAACAATTAGATCCTAAGTTTGAGCGGACACCAGCTGAGATATCACATTATACACGATATATGTCATTCTTCAAGGTAATGTCTTGAGAGCAGTATAATTATTTTTAAAAATTCAATATTATTTAGTACCTAACATTTATTTAACAAGGACTGCATTGACGTAATTGAAGGAACATGTCGACGCACGTGTCCCAAATAATGATAAGATTGCATTCATTAGTTGTTGTGATAGTTCAACCAGAATTTTATGGCCTTTTGTGACTTTAACATGTGTTTACTTTCGTTATGGCCGGTTGAGAAGACGATGCACATGACAGTCGAATATTCAAAGCTACGATGTGTAATTTCAGTACCAACTTTCTACATCTACCTGTAGGTATGTTCGAGTCTGAGCTAAAATCATACTTAATTTTAATCTATATATTAATTGCATTATTTATCATGCAAATACTACTTGATCGATGTTGTATATCCATTGCAGCGATAACAGCTAAACCCATTTCTTGATTCGAGATATCACATATCAGACTTTGAATGTGCAAACAACTTTACACGAGACAAAAAAATGTTCAATAAATGACATTCATCATTAAGTGATGTCATTGAGAGGATTTTTGACACGTGGAAAAAAGAATAGGTGATACTCCGTGATATGCCTTCTTACAAGTTCTCAAAGCAAGTACAAATTGTGTTTTGCTATAATGACTCACCACAATTACATTCGAAGACATCATTCCCATAGCGACATTGAGTTTCATTTGGAGGATGAGGATTAAGAACATGTAATTGCAGAAGCTTTTGAAGACCTTTTAAGGCAATCTTTAACCCAACAGGACAATGAGACTTCGATCACCTATACTATGGACGGGGAGGTGCAAGCGATATACGGAGTTGATAAAACAAATTACTGATGCGATAGTAGGTGGATGATTGAAGAATTTCATATGTTATTATCTGTAGTTTATTCAAATACTTAAGTTTTAATTTTTAAATTTGTGTGTTTTTTTTCAGGCTTTATTTCAATTGATTAGCTTTTCTTCTGTGGTTTAATAACTCCGTTTGATATTAAACGTTGAATCTAACAAATATATCACATAAACTTTGGTTTTTTATCACAACAGTTATTATCACAAAATGATGCAAGAACACCGTTATAAAATTTATAATTTGTTTCTAGTATTGTAGGTTGCAGCGTAATTTTATGGTTTCACTCGAAGATGCTTTATAATTGTCACTGGTAGTTGGTGTTGGTCAGTTTTATTATATTTTTCTTCTTATTTTAATCTTTTTTCATATAATTTTCAGCTTAAAATAACTGACTTATGAATTCTATTTTGCTGCTTTTAGGAAAGACGAGCTATAGAATTTTAGGGATGTCCTGAAGATTGCTATGCCACTGCCATAACTACGCCTCCAGAGACTCACAGAGCATTGTGACTTCTTCTGATGGTCTGACAGTCAGGTTGATTCGACTGTCAAAAGTGATCGCGAATTAATAGTATTATTAGAGGACAATTTAGGACGA